ATGGGCTTATGAGGGTGGGAATTTATTGCTCTTGATCTGGATGATAGACTTGGCAAAGGAGGCATAATGTCTGAGAGGGGAGTCTTTGGTCAGTGGTTGTGGTACAAGCTATAATCAGGCTGATAGGACTTGGTGTCTCTGAAATTCCATTGATTTTTAATTTTTCATTACCTATGTATGGAGCATGGAAGTGGTGTTTAAATTAATTATGATTTAATACAGTAGATACAATTAACAATTATTCCATGATAGTGCACTGGATATAAGATGGTTAATAGCCAGTGAGGTGCATATAGTTGATTTGACAATAACCAATCTTGTATTAGATGCACAATCATGGAATAAATGAAAATTCAATACGTTTATGTCTTGTCCCTAGTGAATCAGAAATTCTAAAGTATGGGATGTGGGTCAAGTGTTCATCAAGTAGAAGTTGATGAAGCAGAGGAAAGAAATGATGTAGATCCTTACAAGAAAGCAACAAAATCTGGTGAGGAGACATTTAATGTGAACTTGTTTTTTTCAATGACACAGAGGAGATATATATATATATATATATATATATATATCAATGACTCTTAAACCCCTGAAGAGTGAGAGTTGCATCCTTTTTTCCTCTCATAATATTTATATATATATATATATATATATATATATATATAAACCCCTGAAGAGTGAAGCGATTCACGAAACAGGCTTGTCGGGAAATGTAGTTGCATCCTTTTTTCCTCTCATAATATTTATTCTGCTCTGCTTCAACGTATTGAGCACTGTTCCACGCGAAAATCGACTTGCAGACTTCCTATATATATATATATATATATATATATATATATATTTATATTTTGTTGTAACACTGGGAGATGAAGTTTATTTCTAAGTGCTGATGATGAATCATCTTTTACCAAGTGATCATGGGGAATGAGTAAGAGACACAATCAGTGCAAGAGGATGAATTGAATATTGCCAGTGTTTATGGCTTGTTCAAAGTACACTGTATATCATATCAATTGGGTGTCCATTGCTCACTATTCAAGCCCTTGCTGGCTCTGCTGTTTGCATCTTGTGGTTAATATATAATTATGAGCCGGTTTGGTGTTAAAAAGGAGTGGAAAAAATATCCAGCATGTACATGCTGAGTGTTAAGTTTGCTTTGTACTTTTCAAGAGAAGACAGAGGTGTTTATATCAAAGAAAAAATGCTGGTGAACACACAAGTGTTATACTTTGTAAACTTATCTAGTGTTCTTGAAGATTCCCAAAAGTTAACAATTTTAATGAGGAATAAGTCATTTATATCTTGGAAGCAGAGTGCCTTGAATTGAACAAGTTTGTAAGCTGAGCATAATTCACATATTTATGAAATAAGATGAATATGCTCATTTTTGTCAGAATTCATTCCTACAATGCCAATCCAAGTGAAGCACTTATTTGACATGATTATTTTTGACATATTATGTGTTGTTAGTTGGGAGAACTGGTTTTGGAAAGGAGCAAAACTTAGTAAATGCAGCCTCAACAGAAGAGGGAAAGAACTTGAGGGAGCAAGAGAAACATGTCACTGGCGAAGTATTATCTGATATACAAAATATTTCTACAACTTCTGCAAAGACAGAGCAGGCAAAATCAGGGGAGAAATTTGTTAAAAATGACATCATAGAGGACAATAAAAGTGGTGTTGTTAAGGGAGATGATATCCCTAATGGAAAAGATGACAATGGTAGTTCAGGGCTGACAAATCAGGTTACAGATAGAGATGGTTTATGTATAGTTTCTGCTGGCATGGATCAGAGCAATGAAAATTCTGAGGTACATGTTACTCCTCAGACTGGGACTAGAGATTCTGGTCCTGCCAAAGATGGCTGTAGTTGTAGAGGTGGGGTAAAGAAAACATCCCTGAATGAAACAAATGATTCATTTACCCAAGTTGTTGCAACACCCAACCAAAGCTTTCAAGACTCTTTTGCCAACGAAATATCTGGACTGGAAACTGACTCAGAGTTAACAAATGGTACAATTACTACAACACACCAAACAGCGGAGAGTACTGATCTTAATCAGTTGAATGCTATTGAGGTGACTGACTCTGAAAGCAATCAAGAAAGTACAGAACGTACCAAAGAAACGTATAAAGATCGTGACAGTGAGTTAACACATGGTGCGGCTGCTACAGATCAAACAGCTGAAAATACTGATCTTCATCTGTCAGAAAATCAGTTGGATGCTGTGAAAGTGACTGAATCTAAAAAAATTCAAGAAAGTAATGTGAAAGAAGCTACAGAAGCATCATTTGAAGAGGAAATGAAGTTAAGAAATGTAGAGGATAAATTAGATGTAGCCGAGGTGACTGATCCTAAAGATATTCAAGAAAATGAAGAATCCTCTACCCAAAAGAAAGACATAGAAAAAAGGACAACTGAGTTAGAAAATGGTGATATTTGTAGGGAACAAACTGCTAAGAATGCTGATATTTATCCTTCAATAAATCAAGATATTGCTGAAGTTAAGGATCCCCTGTTTTGTGGCAACTTGAACAAAGCTGTGACAAGTAAAAATGAAAGTGACCGAGGGGAAGTTCTACAAATATTGAACCATGCGCCAGTTGTACAAGCTACTGAAAATATCCAAGGTGGCCAAGGAAATTGTGCCACAGATAAGAGTGAAAATGATGTCAAAATAAATCTGTCAGATGGAAATGTCACATCAGCTGAAAGTCTCTCAGTTGTTGGTGAAATGAGCAGTGTTGAAACAGAAGCACAAGATTCTGCGCTTTTTCGAGACGTCATTGCCGAAAACAGGCTCATTGCAGCACTACGTCTTTCCTGCAAGTTATCACCTGGGCATCTTGTGAAAGATCTTAATGTCATGGGTGTGAAGTCAGTTCAATTGATGCGTTCACTTTCACCAGGGGTTGTGACTGTAGCAGAGCTGATACAAAAGCTTGTTCACTTGACAGAACTTGATCTATCAGGAAATCTTATTGGACCTCAGGGATTTCGTGTTATTTGTTTGGCTCTCAGAAGGAATGCTACTCTTAAGTCTTTGAACTTGGCAAACAACTTGGCAGACACTGATAGTTCTGTAAGTATTGGAATCTTTTTTTTTTTTTTATTAGCTATTATTTACTAGAATACTAATTCTTTGCGAAACAAAAATATTTTATTAACATCTAATGGCAACCTTCATCAACTATCATAAATTTGGTCAGGAATCCCACAGAGCCAAAAGCATTTCGTTTAGTTCTGGTTGATTTCAACACAGCTTATCTCATGACATAATACAAATTTATTTCGGCGATTCAAATTTACCCAAACCTTTTTCTTATTTCTTTTTTTTGTTAAGGTTTTTGTTCTCACAAAATTATTTTATTATATAATATGTACAACTAACGACATTCTCTCACAAATGCCAACTTGTCACCGGCAAAAACATAAGCATAATCAGCTTTTTGAAATAACCTTGATAAGTGAGTGTGATGTTTTCTCTTCACGCGTAAAGGACTGTTTAGGAGAAATGCTGTCTGTCAACTCCACTCTGGAGAGATTGGATGTTTCTGGGAATAACCTTGGGAGTGATTACTTTTCGCGATGTGTTGGACCAGCATTGATGAGCAACAAATCTCTAAAGGTGTTAAAGTTTACCAGTTGTGGATCAAATGATGTGTCTGCCATTTGCGAGGCAATGGTAGAAGGAAATACAACAATTGAGGAACTCGATGCCAGTAATAATCACATTGGAGCTGTGTTTGGAGAGGGGTTGTTAAAAATCTTGCAGGTATATGTACATCTATGCATATTAGTGGTATTAGCATACTAACGGCAGAATTCTGGTTCACTCTTAATTTTCTGGGTCGTTCAAAGAGCGAATATCGCTATTCAACGGAGAAATCGTTATCCTGCGCATTTCAGTGTTGTTGAAAAGTTCATGTGTTGCATATTGTTATGGAAACTCATATCATAATTTATAGACGTTTGAATACATGTACAGTGGATGTGTTTATAATGTTGAATGGTATCGTGAACAAGTCTTATAATATAGTGTTTGCTGTTTGTCACAGAAACCAGGTTGTCGCTTGCGACATCTTGATGTCCATGGAACGAGCCTTGGAAACGATGGAATGGCAGCACTGCGGAAAGGAATTCAAAATAACAACTCTCTCATCAGTGTGAATGCAGCTGGGCACCAGGTAAGTTTACCTATGTCATGCAAAAAACTAAATTTTTGCACTGAATTTACTGAACACTGTGATTACAATTTTCACGGGAAAAAAACGATTCGTGTGCTTGGTTCACAATGATGCACTTGTGTAGTCATTTACAGGGTTGTCAGTTAACAGTGAGAATGGAGTCATTTTCTCCGAACTTCACACCTCTGGGCTAACTTTGACATCATCTAATTAGACCGTGATATTTTGTGATATTGAATGGTACAACTTGGGACCAAAAAAGGCGACAATCAGTGTACTGCATTTGTTCATCATGGATGTTTTTTTTCAAAGTACTGGTAAAAAAATTAGAGTAAAACGTACATGACTTATCAGTTTACACGAACTGAATTTAGAATACGTGACTGACGACAACTCTTCAATCGACTCTGGTGATGACTTCCGTTCAGGCGTTACTTCCGGGTCCAAACCATATACTGGAGAGAGCAAAGGAAGCTATTGTTTGTCTAACATTTGCGAAGACCAATTAATTTTTCACTGTATTGTGCAACAGGAAAAAAAATTACCCTTAAGCACGATCTCCACATTTTGTTTGACTGTTCGTGGACTTTTCACGAGATCCATTAAATTTTGAGAATTCTTCTGGCTTGTTGATTTTTTATTTGCCATCACCAAGCTGCCGCTGAGTTCACACGTATCTTCAAATTGGCTAATGCATGTTATTTCTCGACTTGTCTAATGTCCAGGTGTCTTGTCTGTCATTTCTCATGGAGTTTTTGTGGAGCTGTATTTGTCATCCTTCTTTGGAGGAGCTGGTTCTTGACGGAACCAAAATTGGCGAACGGGATGAATGGAAACCATCAGGTCTTGCTTTCTGTTTGCAACTTTCAGTACTTTACAGTGTATTTGAGCTTTCTTATTTTGTTATATCTACCGATCTCGTGCTGTCTAGGGTGTTTTAGAGTCTTTGCATTTATTTGTAGGTGAGATTTGTGCTAAACTCGAATGTCAGTCTTCTGACATGGGAAATAGTTCTTAACGGTTTGCATTCAAAGTCGCAGTAACTGTTCTTGATTGGCAACTATTCATCCCCAGACTTACATCTTGTCTTACTTTCACTTTTGAATGCATTGTAACCATATAGGTGTGATTGAGCTGGAAAGAAGTTCGAATCTGAAAAAGCTACTTATATCAGGATGTTCGCTGACAAATCAAGCGTTAGGGACTTTGGCAGAAAACGCTCAGGGAAAATTAAATCAGCTCTTTTCCTTGGATTTGTCCAGCAATGATCAGCTTACCACAAAGTGTTTATCAAGCATTTGCGCCTTGACCTCCTCTGGTAATTGTCTTGGTTATTGATAAAGACCGTTTTACCTGTGGGAGATTATTTTCCCTGTCTGTCAAATATCCTTTATTATAGAATTCTAAACAAACAGAACTTTGGAATTAATTTCCCAAGCCTCCCCTCTCAAAGCAGTGGCAAAACATGTAAATCTGTGACATACGGTTTAGCATCTAGACCCAAAGCCCTGCATCTGCCCTTTTCACTTAGATGCCCCCATAAAGCTCGATGACACATCGTATTTTTGAAAGAGACGCGATCTTCGAATGGTGGACAGCCAGTTCTGTGAGATTTCATTTCTTATGTAGTTTTGGCCATACCCTTATTAACTGGCGACGGTAGGTGAATGAAATCGCTGTGAGACAATTAATTGAAGGTTTCTTTTTGCCTTAAACGGGGAAACACGAAGGAAAGGGGATGTTATTCGATTAAATTTTTTTCTGTTCAACCCTATCTTACATTAAGCGACGAACTGGTTTTAATTTTTCCATTTTTTTGCTTCTGTAGATCAAAGTGTACATTCCTTGTGTGCCGTTGACTTCTCGTTGAATGTTGCTGATGATATCGCCGCCGAAATCGTAAACCTTCCTCAACTTAAAAACCTCAAATCGCTGCTTCTAAAGAAATGTAGGATTTCACCAAATTTCATCGCTGATCTTTCTAAGCTCGTTGCCGTGACAACGCCTGAAGTCCCACTTATTTCCTCCCTGACATTGGACGGAATCAAACTGTCAGGAACAGATGCTCTGAAAAGAATGCTGGGATTGTCAGACATGTTTATACCCATAACTCCCTGCAGCTTTGAGTTGTTGTCGCTTATAGGGTGTGGGTTGAACGATAGAGACGTGAAACCGCTGATGACTGCAATAGGGAATGGACTGATTATAAAGGAATTGAGATTGGCGGCAAACAGGCTCACAGACACATCGGTCAACAACTTGTTGGAATCTACTGGAAATTCGCTTTCTCTTGAAACCCTGGATCTGTCAATAAACAAGGTTTGCATGTATTTATAAATTGCTTTTATTATGAAACACTAATTGAAACAACTGTTTTATTCGTTAGATTCGAAACGGCGGCGCTGAGAAACTAGCTTGTGCATTAGCTGACAAACTGGCAAACCTGAAGAGCTTGTTTATGGGCGACAACTGTATCGGCAGGGAAGGGATACTTGCTTTGGTTGGCAAAATTGGTTCCGGCTCTCAACTGGGAGTTTTAAACCTCAAAAGTCAGCAACAAGCTTTGGGAGAAGAAGATGTGGATCAGATAATGGAACGGCTGGCAGAAGCACTTGGTACATGCCTGTTCATATTTTATTACCTAACATCATAATTTTGTTCTTGTCATAGTACCCTGGCAGTTTATTTTCCTCGCCTCCCTTGTTGATATGTTACGCTTTTTCTTTTAGTGTTCTTGCACTATTCATTTCGTTTAGATAATTATTAATTTGATGTAAGATAAGGAATTACTGAAGTATTATTATCGTGCTAGGATTGTACGTTAACGTGCATGGCACCCTACAACCAGTGGCAGCGTGTCTGTGAAATAACTGGCAAGCGGCCTTGTCTTATACTTTTCAGGATTCGACCCGCAGAGTAGTGACCCTCCTACGTCAGACGTTTTTGTACCACCCTCAAACTTCTCAGTCAACCTCACCGGACTTGGGGGCGAACCTGGTGAACTGGGACCGAAACTGGACAGTCTGGCCGTCCTAACAGACTACAGCTCAAAACATCGTAGGACTTTGACACTTGATGATGCATTGCAGCTGTCTGTGGCTCTCTCCCAAACGGAAAACACGAGATCTCAGATGAGTCAAGGCGACTGGAACCGAGTTATCAGCGCTGACAAAGACGCACCAGGATGGTTGCAAATCTCGTCACAGCGGGCATGTGCGATATATGTTAGTAATCTGCCGCTGAGCGTGACTGCGGAGAAATTGGAAGGGCAGCTGGATAGTGAAGCGGAGTGTAACGTCGTGGAAGTCTATTTGCTAAAGGTTTAAACTTCTATTTGTTTATTAGGCTGTAACTCCTCTATTTAACTGTAAAGTGTAGTATTTATCAAATGTAGGGGACTTCGGACAGAACGAAAAAAAAATTCCCTTTCAGTAAGAATTGTTTCCTATACCTCAGAAGAGCCAAAATCATTGAAGCTTCATTTTTAAAATCAAGACGGTTTTTTCGGACAGCAGGTCTGTGTGTCCGTTCAGCCGTTAATTAGTGAGTTAGTCAGTCAGTTGTCAGTCAGTGATTTAGTTAGTCAGTCTGACGGTCAGTCAGTTGTCAGTAAGTGATGTAGTCAATTAGACAGTCAGTGATGTAGTCATTCAGTCAAACAGTCAGTCGATAAGTCAGTCAATCAGCCGGTAAATCGGTCAGACAGTCAGGTAGTCAGTCGGTTAGTCTTACTGATTAAAGATTACTCTTTTGAGTACCTAGAAATAGGGGCTAACATATATTTTTTGTAATTGTATTGGGAGTATTCTTCTTCCTCTCCAATCTGCCAATTTTTTCTGTGAATCAGGATCAGATTCTCAGGAAACCAAATGGCTTAGCCTGGGTGTTATTTGCAGACGCTGAGTCTGTTCAAAGGGCAGTGGAATACTACAACTCTGGCCAGGCTTTCATGTACGGGACACCATTTGTTATCTCCTCCGTAAATGTTGATGTGATTGCTGATACTGACATGGAAGAAAATGCTCTGGCTAAGGCGAGGTTTGTATTTTTCATTGTGTCTTTAACAATGAAAACATTTAAGAGGCTGTCTCTCTTATTTCCACCCGGTCAATTTTGCGTCAAAAATAATTTTGCCTGAAACTCTGTTAACAGAAAGACTTTACCTAGGAAAGAACTAAATTAGATTTGGTTTGATTCGAAATAATTTTCTGACTGCATTACGGGCCATAATTATTTCCCAGTCCGTAGGGACCGTCGCAACGTCTCGAAAATTGAAAAATAGGCATATTTTGTAACGTTGTAAGATATTTGATTCGCATAGTTAAGCCACAGAATTTATAGCAGATTGCTTAAAAACCTTTCTTGTTTGCCAAGAAAGTAAGAATTTGCCCTCTCAACAAATTTGAAAAGGCGAATTTTAGCATATTCTGACCACTAGAAATCGCCATCGGCCGATGGCCGTAAATAACCTTGATTTAGACGCTAAGTTTTGGGATTTGGGACCTGGTTGACGATTCTATCCTGCACAGCCGTTAAGTTTAGACCTTTATAGAGAAATCGGCTACCAACGTGTTAAAAACTTGACAAATGCTTCGTATGAACAAATGTTATAAGTGTTGCTTTTGGTAAATTTTCAATCGATTTCATCAAAACATTTCACTGACTACTAGATATTATAATATATTACACTATAACAACGCCGTCAGAACTTGATATCGGAAGTAAAGGTAGTTTGTATCTGTAGAGCATATTCTACACTTTCAGCCACCGTATAAGACATTGTTTACATAAGTCTACTGAGAAACACACTGACAATCACTAATCACGTCCGACAGATTGGATGTGAGACTTTGATCTCTTTGTTAACTTTGTCTACCAGATCTTATCTCTCGGAATTTTCCTGGACGCATTGGATATCTTCCTCCTCATCCAGTGATATCCCGATCTCACCCTGATCTTTTCGCCGCATTGCTGCTTGCCGGGAGAAAAAGCTCTGAACTTGGTTCTTTGTCAGCTACTGTTCTCTAGTGAACAAACGTGCATTTGATTCATTTTTCGCATTTCGCATGTCCACTGCAACTTGGGCGGGGTCGGCCTTTCGCCCAGTTCTTTCTCCAAGTGTAAACCGTGCCGTTAGGTATTCTTTTACCTTCTCTGAAAATCTAACGCTGCCCCTTGGTTTGCTTACGGCCCATCCTGTTCGTAAAGACGACTGGGGCGAAGTATCCACGGGAGAAGTGAGTGGTGTACTAGAATCTAACGAACAGCTCGAACACTCGATACCAGCGGTATCTATCGACGAGAACTTAAGGGCCCAGCCCCTTTTGATTGCATCATACTGGCTTTAACCTGCTGACTGTATGCTTTCCAACGTCCAGGTGCAGCTCCAGCTGCGAAAAGGTTTCGACCACTTCAACACATCCAAACACAGAGCATTCAAACAATGCCGTTGTACTCTCTGTTTCCTTGCTGCCCTTTGAACGACGCTTGACCACACGCTTTTCAGGAGGATCATAAAACCCTTGAGATTCTATGGTTTGAAGTGACGTTTGACCTTGGTGCTGATACAAATTACGTCATATGGAATGTACTTCCCTTTACCGATGTCATAACATTTCCAAACTCTCAGACCGATATCTCCATATTCGAATCGAAGTTGTGGAAGCTACTAAAATGCTCAATCTTATTTATACAGAGAGTGTTCTTTGATTCGTCTACTATTCTTACTGCAGCTGTTGTTCCCTTCACTGGATGTTTCGTCAATGCGTATCCTCTGTCCAATGAAAGCTTTAACAACCTCGCTGAAGACTCGCTACAGACTGAAGCCTCTCTGGTTTCGAAAAAGCACTTGCATGCCATACTACACTTGCAGGCCTTCCAAAAAAAATAAAGGGTTAGCGGGTTTACCCGCAATGATTAATGCGGACCTCTGTTATGCGCGATAGTGCAATCGTTCAGCTTTAAATTCCAAAACGCCAAACTTCGACACATAGACTTACAAGTGGAGTTCTATGACTGATTCTTGAAGAGAATGCAGCTGCAATCCAAAGTTTCAACGGGACATTAAGCGCGAAACATGGCTTTAGTTTTCGAGTTTAGTTCGCAACAACGAGTCAAAGAAGAGTATCGACAGATGCTGACCGCTTAATTTTGGAGGTATTTGCTGGAGTTATCATAAAGTCCAGTTCACCAGTTTGGGAAGCGAGGAATATCTGAAATTTCACATAAACCCATGGTTTCTCCGGCTATTGACAGGTTGCTGTTCTGTGGACACAATCGACGCGGAACCGAGAGAAGCAAGCTCAGGATATTTGAAATTGATTTATTAATTATATGATATCAAACTCCAGGTAAAAGCATTTATTCTTTTCATCCAAAATTTTTCTGCCCAAATATTACTTTGGGATACAAAACAAAACCATATGGCACAACGTACGGCACAAGCTATCAGCGGTCTTCTCTTTTGTGCGGACCTTTGTGAGAACAGTATAACATCGAACTGGATCTAAATTTAAGCGATTATTTCTTCACTTCAGAAGCCTAAAACCTTCATTTCTCCCTCAGCTTCCAGACATGAAGAGTTTATATTCTGATTTTGGAAAAAAGTCAGCTCTGCAGCGATGTTAAATGGGTGATTCACCGCGAAATGTGGCCAATTCCGGCATTTGTTTTGATACCACGAATCACGATGGATGCCGCCTACTTTTCGAAGGCAATACCTAGCTATTTGTTGAAGTTATCATGGATTTCACCAATTTGGTTATTAGAAAAATTCTGAAGTGAGCCATGAAGCCGGGCTGCAAAGCGGGTAAGCTGTATTTATGACGAAATCTGCTCCAGTGGTTCGATTTTGGTGTAGGCGAAAAAATCGCGAATGCTCGTACATGTGCTGATTCAAACGGTCATAACTTTTGAAAAATCGAAAACATACAGGGGTTTTTGCATATTTTTGCCTATAAAGGTCTAAAATTAACGGCTGTGCAGGATAGAATCGTCAACCAGGTCCCAAATCCCAAAACTTAGCGTCTAAATCAAGGTTATTTACGGCCATCGGCCGATGGCGATTTCTAGTGGTCAGTATATGCTAAAATTCGCCTTTTCAAATTTGTTGAGAGGGCAAATTCTTACTTTCTTGGCAAACTAGAAAGGTTTTTAAGCAATCTGATATAAATTCTGTGGCTTAACTATGCGAATCAAATATCTTACAACGTTACAAAATATGCCTATTTTTCAATTTTCGAGACGTTGCGACGGTCCCTACGGACTGGGAAATAATTATGGCCCGTAATGCAGTCAGAAAATTATTTCGAATCAAACCAAATCTAATTTAGTTCTTTCCTAGGTAAAGTCTTTCTGTTAACAGAGTTTCAGGCAAAATTATTTTTGACGCAAAATTGACCGGGTGGAAATAAGAGAGACAGCCTCTTAATTATATCTTGACTTTCTTCGTACATTTCTCTGTCTGTGGCCAAGCGCTAGGTATGTTACCGTAAATGACCTGTCTCTTCTAAACACGAGGAAGGTTAAAAAACTAAACACAGCTATACAAAACCGCCACGCAGACGAGCGTTTGCTTAATTAAGCACGCCTATCGACCAATGTGAGTGCGTTGTATTTCGATTTCTATCGACCGATTTCCATTCAATCGTAGGACGCTATTTAACGCTAACTTGCAGCGCTTGATAAGACATTGCAGTGCAAGTTAAAGAAATTTTATTTCGATGAGATATCTTTTATTTTATCATTTTATTTACAGACAAGAGATGAATCAACGTGCTAGAGATCGCAAAGCAGATCAAACTGTTCATGCGCAGCTCGTTCAGTCAAACTACAGCGAGAGTCTTGCCCGTCATGAGTATGCAGCCCAGCACCCCGCGTACGCTGATGGCCGAGTGTGGTGAGGGACTAGTGACGACAAGAATATTGTGCTCTAGTTGCATTTAAAGCGATTCTGGAGAGTTCAGACCCTTCTCCTTAAGAATGTTGTCTTTTAAACGTCTTATTGATGTTCGATTTATTAATACTTTCCGCGAGGTGGTTTAGCTACAACTCCTTGAATTGTACTGTAAATCGTTTCACCTGCTATCGATGGTTTCCCATCGGTTCTTTCTTATGGATACAGTTAAAGAGGCTGGTAAAGTTTGGCAGCCCCCTTTTTCGACTCATAAACAAATTTACGACGAATTTGTTAAAAAAATTATTAAGGTGTAAAGCGCACATTTTTCACAAGGATATTTGTCCATCCATTCTGCATTCTGTGAGTGTTCAAAAGTAGATTCACTGAGTGAGCATTTTAAATGCTATGTCAAGTAGTGTAACAGCAATTTTTTTGGGGTCAATTTTCACGAGTGTTTGTTGTATTATAGTTGTTACTCTGCAAGGAGAATAATGGCTTTTGGTTTTACATGATATTCCACGAAGAGGGTTTGAAAAATTATTTATTTTACACTTGTATTTTGATGTTGGATGAAGGTTATAATTTTTTTTTTACCCAAAGTTTTGTCTTCATTTATGGACTACAGAGTATTTATTTTTCTGAAATTTCATCATCCGTTTAATACGAATAAAAATGGATAAAATTGATGGCTAGGAATTTTTATTGGTTTGTTGATTGTCCCTCTTTAGACAGAAATGTTTTCTGTTTTATCCGCTCAGCTGAAATTCCAGGTAAAACTTCTTTTCTGGAATAGAAATTTTAACGCTTTTCGGGCTAGTCCAGAATTCTGAATCAAGAATTTCATGTAAGAGATGAAAATGTACCCTAAAGACGAGCAACCAGTTTAACCAGTATTGCAAATGATTTTGTTTTAAAAAAAATAGAACCAAAGGGTGCTGATTGTGATGATTCCTCGCTCTCTCAGTCCTCAAGAAAAAGTAAGGAAGTACGAATGAGTTTTGCTTGTCTGGCTCTCGTGTAAACAGCGAGGTCACCTCAAAGATCTATCGTTTATGTTCTTTAGGCTCGGCAACCAGCTGCTGTATGGGGGAGACGTTCATATATCGGGAGAAAGCAAAGACGTGACTTAAGAGAGCCGCAGAAATGAAGTCCAGGTTTTCTCGTCAGTTTCAAAAGAGAATTTTAAAAAATGTTAATGCACGGGGAATACCGAACAAAAGCAACCATTTAATATTGCTTTACACTCTCACTTGGAGAATAGACCAAAAACTTTTAGGTCGATCCTCTCAAGTTTGCCAGCTGTTTAAATACGTTGAGCATCAGTCCGGAAAACCGCTTCATATTTCAATCAATTTCCATGTTACCACGCGGCGTAATAAGGTTGCCAACTTTTCTAAATTTTCAGCTTCTTCATAAGGACCAGTTATTTCATTCCCAACTAGCATAATTTCGGTGAGGTCATCGCGCATTTTCTTTGTGGCGGTGTGCTTCTTTTTGAGTTCAGAAATTGAAATTTATAATGCAAATGAAATTAGCTTAAGAATACATCCGCCTTACAGCCGCAGCGGAGAGCGAGGGAAATCTGCTGTTGATATTGACAAGCTGAAATAATATGTGCAAACGCAATAACTTTTCCATCAAAAAACCGTTTTACCATTCATATGTAAACAAGTAAAAGGACGAAGACCATTTTGGAGCAAAGTTAGTGTTATGAAATAACATTGAACAGATGCTTGCCTAAGTACACAGATTGTTACAGTCACTTTGATTTGTTTATGCTCAAAGACTGTTTTAAGAGCGATCTGGCTAACGCGAGTCAGATTTAAACACCGATGAGAAATTCTAGCCGTTTCTCCTTTAAATTATCCAATGAAATCACTACACGATTCCAACCAATGTCTGTGCCGTTTCCGCAGGACTTCACCTTACAGTCTCCTTTTGGGACACTTTAATTCTGAGTAACTGCAAACACGGTCAAGGCGACCAACTTTTGACTGAAGTGTATAACAAGCAACGATGTTGCTTTTTGCAGTTCTCACTCTTAGGGCAAGAATACTTTCCTCCAGCCCAGAAGGTTTGCTTTCGTCATTTTTGTGAATTTTTATTTAGTATAATCGAACTGCACGTTTTCTAAAAGAAACGTTAGGGACACGGAAAAGCACATACAAATAGATGACTTTTAATAATTTGGTCTTTCCGGACTACACTGCTATTGCTTGGCTACCTTTTCGAATGAATGCGGATATTCTTTTCAAAGACATCTGCTCTTCTGAAAATGAATCGGATTGATACATCAAAGTTATATTCTAATGAAACAATTTTTTAAGAAAAATTCTGAGAAAAACAAGTTGGACTATTGAGAGGAACGAACACTATTGATAAGTTCTTCTTCTGTCAACTTTATTGCTAGTGGTCTAAGTTGAATCACATTCCTTCCTTTGTAGAGAATTCGGAATCCTTAAATCCTAACCTACTTGAAGGTGACATGATTATGTCGCCACAGCAAGTAAGAGGGTTACTCCTGGGACAGTCACGTGGCGCTCATTTTGTTCGCCGCTGGCCAAATGGCATGGTGCCATATACTATCGATTGGAGTTTGGGTAAGCGTGACATTAATTTTAAAGTTGAAGACACTTTAATCTAATAACTTTTTCTCATATGCTTAGGATATGAATCGCCTGCTAGTAGTCTGTGATCTTTGGATAGGGAGTGAGTTTTGCCGATGACAAGAGTTTGGGACGAGACAGAAGGAGAATGTTATTGTGCCTTTAGTCTTGATCCAGGCTCTCCCCTGTCAAATATCACCACGCCCGTACAACCATGCGATTAAAAATAAAGAAATAAAAAGTAGGAGAAAAGAAACACACACAAGCTAACCCGGAAGGCTTAGTATTCTTAAGATATTACCTAACACCCCTAAAAATGACAGCGTTCGTGCTATGATTTTATCTTGCGTCAGAAAAACTTAGTCTGCCCATCACATTTCTTGCAGAAAGGGAAGATGTGGCCAAATCTGTCATTGCTGCTGCTATTGAGGAATAGACAAGCAAAACCTGTTTGTAATTCAAGGAAAGGACTTCCGAGAGGGCATACGTTACATTTCGCATAGGAAACGGGTTTGTGCCTGATTTTAGTGAAACTAATATATATTAATTTGATTGTATAAACGCCTTTAATAGCAGTTTAAGTCATATCGTTCGCCAGGAATCGTGTCAAAACTGGACGGTTCAGGCCATTTTCGAAACTGGAAACTGAAACTACAATTCTTCATTCTTACACGATTTTCTTTACCTGGAAGCCTTTCATTATCTCACTTTACTCTTGTAACCTTCGAATAATGCCTGCTGGATAATGCATTCCCATTTAAATTTCTTCGTTTTGGGCTGTTTAAGAGTCCAAGAACTTTGTTGACTTGTTGCTCAAAGGCATCTCGTAACGAACAATCCTGTTCTGTTTATTAAACTCTCAGCTCGAAATCCAAAAATTGATTGGCATTTAAATTCACCAATCAGAGGGGTTGGCCTACAGACGATCTGGCACCAAATTCTCATTACTTATTCACAACAACAGAATTATAGCGAAAGAGAAGAATTATCTATTAGGGAGCTAACAGTGTGTCTACAGAATCTTATATGTTCTTGCAGTTGCTCTGCTTCAGTGGGATATCAAGGATACTAACAGTTCGTTAACCTAGCTCCTGGATGTTGGCACATGGGGACTGTGGCTCATGAAATCGGTACGTGGGTTGGGAAAAGGGTGGGGGGGGGGGGGGTATGGTTGCACAGGTCAGCTCCAGCTTACGAGCCAGTAAGCCTATTACTGCAAGAGCTTACTACATCTCTGGTGGCTTGAGGTAGCGTTGAGTATTGTTACACCTCACTGAACGGGATTCTGTTAATTTTCTCTGACTTCAGACACGATTTTAAAGAACCCTGGATTATTTTTCAACAGCGTATGATTTTGTTATTGTGACTTAAGAATAAAGTATCCTTTCTTTATCCTTTCTTTATTGCTGTTACTCGATAGTTTTCTCACTGAGACATTGCTTGCTATCGCTCTCGCGGCTTTTGACCATACGTGCTTTATATTTCGCTAAGGTCACGCTCTTGGGTTCTTTCACGAACAATCTCGACCGGACAGAGACAGATTCGTGAGAGTTGTCTGGTACAACATTCAAAAAGGTAATCATAAAATTAGTGATAACCATTCCACAGATTACTAACTGAGCGTATTTTTAAAGCCTTCTAGTTTTTAATGCGATCATTTACTGTTATCCTTTACTCTTGACCAAAAGGAAGAGTAAAGGTATCAACGGCTCTCCATCACCCCCTCATTTCCATCCTTTAACTAGATAAGATTTTTCATAATAGGGGTCACGTTTACGAATCTCGTGTGCTGTATGTAAACAAATGTATACCGCTGCTCTACTTCATGAATCAGCGGGCTCATAGGACCGGCAAGGAGAAATGCCTTACATGGAGATTTTTCGGATTCCCGAGTTTTTACTACCTTAGTTATACGGTTCAAATTTTGTCAACTTGTAAAAATTTTAACCTCATGAAGGAGGGTCATGTGCATCTTGGGCATCTCCCTTCCATAACTACGCCTCAGCCTCAAATAAATTCAGGCAAGTTTTGGCTGTCAATATAATCGTCAGTTGCTTATTTGACGCATACACGCTCAAAAAAATTTAATACTACCTATTGTGAATATTCTTCGTTAAAATGCAAACTCTTACCCGTAGGTATGGGCTATAACTTCATGAAGGTCAACCACATTAATTCGTTGGAGGAACCATATGACTTCGATTCTCTTATGCATTACGGTAGTACGTTTTTTAGCAAGAACGGTCGTCCAACCTTGTTCCCACGAAAGAAAGGGTGAGACTGTCTTTACTGCTTTACTAAAACAAATACAAAAATTTGCTATTAAATACTGTGCTGCTACAGTAGTACACAGGAACATTTTACTCTTCTCGTGTAAATCCGCAAATGTTGTGAACCAAAGATCTTCTCAAACGACGTGACTAGAGACGCACGTATTTCAAGCTTCGAATTTTTCCTTTTCTAGCAAAAAAGGATGTGTTTCAAGCCTCCAATATTTCTTTATTTCTGTCATGATTTAATAATGATAGTAATAATAATAATAATAATAATTGTTATGATAATTATAAAAAGAATCATTGTCCAAGTGTCCTTTAAACAAGAGTAAGAGCAATGAAATTTTCACAACTCAAGTTGAAAGGCGACAAAATGAGTCAGCTAAGTGTTGTGATTTTACTTAGTTTCCGTTTCCAGTCTGGGCAGTGATGTTAGTAGTTCTCAAGCCATTGCACATAACAGCAAATGATAATCACTCTCATTCACTTGTGAGTACAGTTTCTTGTGTGGCTAGAAAAGTGTGTTCGTACAACCTACGCCACTAGCTTTCGATTGAGAACTAATATGGAGAAGATTTGTTTTCTGTCTGTTTAACAGAGACCATATTTCTTTTTGGTTTCCCCAAGTATAATATATTTGATGAAATTTCGTTTCAGATCGAGTTTGGTCAAAGAGAAAGAGAGAGCGAAGGAGATGCCCGTCAAATGAACAAGATGTACAACTGCCCATAGCTTAGTTCTGTAGAGTTTGAGATAAATCCAAACAGAATTAACATAACTTGATAAAATTAATAAATAAGTTAAATTAATTCGTGTAATAGATGAGATGAAATTAAGAACGCAAAGTAGAAGAGAATAGCTCGGTTATGGTTTGGTTTTCAGTGAGTTCTTGTCTTTGGGTCCTTCCTGTTTCCTCACTCCATCTTACTGTGGTTACACTTTCTTTGGTAGAAAATATATCTTTAAGTTTTAGTGTTAGTGAGGGAGGGAATAATTAGGTTTCTCTCTTTGTCGGATGGGAAAGGAAGCTAGTCATCGGGCCAGTTTGTAATGCGAGTTTCTCTTGGTTAGGGATCAGTCATTAATTATCGCCCGGAAGGAGGGGGCCGAGAGGATTTTATTTGCGTCACAACTAAATTTACTGGACTCCAGTAAGGCTCTGTAGTATTCTAACGATCCCCCTCATTGACAGTAAATTCAACTATAGTCCCCCCTTTTATACTCTGTTAGCGACGGCTGATCCCCCTTAATTTCCTTGAAAACCATATGGTTCCACCTAGAGCCTTATAACCTCCCTTCGTCCTCCCTCGTCCTCACTCCTCAATAATGACTGGTCTAACAAATAGACCTTTCTTTTATTCCTTCAGAGATGACTCTTCGATAAAATCTTCCACTCAAGGGTTTATGAGTGGCATTCTTACTCTAAAAGTGATGGTAAGCCTTAAAATGCGATCCCATTTGGGCTATCAACCTAAAAAAACCAAAGCCCCTCCAAAGTGTGTTTTCGTCTAGAAGCCCAGGATATTAATACTCTCCAGGAGGTTATTTCAACGCGTTCACGGTATTACTGTTCTGTGAAAGAAAATTAAAAGGAATAAAAAGAAAGCAGCAGGGCGAGGTCTTATCCCCGATCTGGGCCCAACATGCTTCCAAAAGCGCCTCTCTGATTTGCTTTTAAACGATTGCAAAATATAATTCAATTTCTTTAAATTTGGGCAAAGTATTTTCAAATTTCCCTAGTTATTCAGTCTTCAATTTTTGCAATCCAGATCAGCTCCTCATTGAATCGATTTTGGAAACAACAGTTTCCTTTCGTGGGAAACATATGAAATTTGAAATTACCAGGCATTGACCAACCACTCCCAAGAATTCTCATCACTAGCATAAAACTCATATGCAAATTAGCAAAGCCGACCGTTTTTTCCTTCCGTGTCAACATCATTTGAAGGGTCACTATTTTTTATTTATATTCCAGTGCCTCGCAAAATCATTGAGAAACGTACTTTGAGCCTTGAGTAAAACACATAAAAGGCCTCAGAAAATTAAGGGAAAATATGAACATGAATATGAATGTCTGGTTTGTTACTTTCTCTTTCTTTTAACTCTCTTCTGCACTGAATTACCTGAAAACTGCATTTATCTTAACCAATCAGAACTGAGTAATTTCTTCATGTATATTATTTGTATAGGTAATCACATGATTTCGAGTGCAATTTGGAATAAATAAGCACGCACAATTTGTGGTCTTTGAAAAAATAAACAAGTGCTTGTTTGTTCCAAATTGCACGAGAAAAATCATGTGATTACGTGTTAATTATATACATGAAAAAATACGAGACAGCTCATCATAAGTAAGCATAAGCAAAGCGCGCGCATCAAGTGCAAAAATAATTTATTCAAACCGTGCGTTCGGTCAAAACAACCGCGTACGATCAAAACAATAGTATGCCATGATATCTTCACATCTTTAAGGCGCAAAAAAAGTTAAAAATCCGGCTAAACAGTTCAAGAAATTGTTCAGTCTGTGTCCAAATCACTTTTGATGAAATGGAATCGTCGTTTCCGAGGTTTAACCATGTTTGTTTTTTCATTTCGGCGTTGGATCGCTCGAGCAAAGTGTTAAGCTGGGTTGGCTCGTAATTTTCGATTTCCTTGGCAGTTCCCTTCTCTAAACACCACTTTTCTAAACCGACAACCAAAAAGCAGTGCTTTTTACAGTGTTTTCGTTGTTTGAGCTGTTTTTCAGCTGCGGTGGCGAAAGAACATGACCTACTTAAAACGCCGGCCATGTTTCGCTCGCAAATTTTCAAATTTTCAAATTTTCAAATTTTGTTGCGACATCCAAGGCTCGCATTTGATTGGCTATCTGTGAGTTTCTTTGATTATTTACCAATCAGAATGTCTAGTTTGTTACTTTCTCTTTCTTTTAACTCTCTTCTGCACTGAATTACCTGAAAACTGCATCTATCTTAACCAATCAGAACTGAGTAATTTTTTCATGTATATTATTTAGTCATAAATTAAGACCAAGCAATTTCCCGGGCGTTTTGCTAATGAATTCACACCAGGAAGCAAGCCACTGTTGTGCAAATATATCTTATCATCAGACATAGTTTGATGCTACACTGGTTTGCAGATTTAATGAATATAACCGAAGAAGTTACAATTCATAGACCCAACATTTCGACACTCCTGTCTAGTGCCTTCATCAGGGGTGATCTAAACGCTGCAACAAGAGGTCTTTTTATATGATCACTAATTAGCGGCCTTTTTTTCTGACGAGGTGTAAATAAGCGTCAGGAAGCAGACGCCATCGTCACGATTTAAAGGAGCGTGGGCGGAGTTAATGTGCCAAGCCTCCAAAACAAAGGCGCTGTTGGTAACGCCGATTAGTGGTGATAATTTTAGAATTATCCCACCCAATTGTATGATTGGTTAAGCAACTATGCTCCGATAAAGCTGAATTTTCCTTTTTGCAAAGAAAAACCGCTTTTTGGTGCTCTTTTAACCGTGTACCAAACTGGCGTTTGATCTGTCCGATGTATTCGTTGTCACAGTCATTGCAAGGAATATCTTGTCATCATTCGTCATTTGTTCTTTATTTTGTATAAAGCTTTGACAGATGTGAGGGGTGGAAAATAGTTAAATACAACAATCTGCTGTTCATTCATCCATGAGTGCGCATATTGATCTATGAGTTTATCATGTCATGACTCGTTTGTCTCACTTCATTGCATCGAAGTTCCTTCATTCTTGAACTTTGCAAGCATTGCAAAGACAGCTACAGACATCTGATAGCTCAAATAGAGTTTTTTTTTCGGTTTTTTGGGTTCTGTTTTAAGTTTTAGCTGAAGAGAAATTTATACAAGTCTTTCGCAATGGCTTAAAATATGGATTCGCATCATAAATCATACCCGGTTTTCTTTGCGGTTGCTTAAATGAAAAACAGACGCTAGTTTCAGTCCGTTGCTTTGGTTCAATGAGGTAGTCCTTGTTGCGAAAAATATTCTTTGTCATTAAAATTTGCCAACCGCGAAAACAAGGAACCTTCTGCGTCATCAGCCAATCATTCTTGTATCATTTGTTTTTTATTCGAGGCCTTTGTCGTATTTGTGACAAATAAAAGATACATACAGTTGGAGTACCATTCATTTTGGCGAAAGACCTCGATCAGGCTCCGCCAACTGAACCGAACGCATCGTCGTCTTTGAGATTTCGATTTTGAGTCAGAGACATTCCACATAGTACAATAATCTGTGTTACTCCAGAGATGAAGACGGTATTTTTGATGTTTCTGATTTTGATTGTTTTCAATTGCAACGCTGCAAGGATCCCATTACATGTAAAGCGCCAAGGTATGTAGAAGTCACACGCTTCAACCGCCATTTTGTTGCATTAACTAATTCAATTTAAGCAAAGTTGTTCGGCTCAAAGATCTGCTGGTTTAATTTGTGTTGTGTTAACAGTTCAAGAGATGTCTGTAGCCGTAGAGTGTAGCTCCTTGCTGAGCTTAAATATAGCCCTTTTACATTCATTTAGAGACTAAATACGAATTTGTTCGCCAAGTCTCACGCTTGGTTAGTTCCGGAGATCTCAACTGTTTGAAGCGAAGAGTTTTTAAGTTTTTTTAGAGCTAAAATCTAACCGATTTATTTCAAATACTAATTGATATTTGCGTTGCCTATCGAGTATCTGGCAGATAAAAAAAAAATTATGATCAATGCTTTGTAGTTGGCTCAAAATTAATTTTTCTTAAGATCACCGATCAGGTTCTTAGTGCACATTTCAAAATGTAAAATTAAGGACTGGAAATTCGCGTCCTTTTTCGTTTGCTGATTGAAATTCAATCTCAAATGAGCAATGTGGGTTTCTAAAAACAGTTTCTGAAATCGTTCGCTGCTGCAACAAAATTGCACTTAACTTTTACCTGTTCACCTATTCGTTTTTGTTTTGTATTTTAACTGTCTTCTAATTGTAACAATGGATTTATTGTTCAATAGCTTGCGACTTCTGCGTTGACTTTCTGTTGGAGGATTGTGTTTGCCAGGACGTGGAATTCTGTAATAGTAATGATTGTGAAGTACCTGAGAAATGCAAAAATAAATG